CCGAATTACGTTGTCTCTTTTACCAGCCTGGGCCGATATCCCGTCTTAAATATTTGCACATGCATTTTGAGAAAGGATTGATCGGAGATTGCAAAATGTTTCACACGTATACTAGGCCAGGGTCAACAGCCACACAGTAAGCATGTACACCACTGGGATTTCGTAATTATATATTTAAACTGAACTGTAATTCTCCCTGCAGTTCCAGCGACTACGAGACAGGGGACCCTGCCACTTACTAAACAAATCAGGAATGGAGCCTAAATTGTTACGTTACAAACCACCTCAAAAGACTGTTTCATCTGACATCTGAGGGTGTTCATACTATATTCAACCTGCCATGTTTCAATCCACTGATTTGCAAAACTGGAACACGTCTTGAAATCCCGCATTTCTTTGCTCGCCAATTAATGTTGCGCGCGGTCAATTTTACTTTGCATTTTCGTAAATTATTAACCAGGTTTTAGCATGGGATTAATAAGCCGATCGCAACCAGTAAGTCACATGACTTAAAGTGGGTGTTGAACATCAACAAACACGGCAAAGTGTGTCATAAGTGCTCTTTACCAAAAAAAAAGTTTACAGTGGCTGCGCTTCTCTGACTACTGGTGTGCTGAGTGCTATACAGAAAATTGGCTTTATTTTTTATAAACAATACTTAAAAAAGACCACATTGCTATGGGAGGACGCCACGTCTGTTGATGTTTAATACCCACGCTGTGTCACGTGACGTAGCTGGTGCAATCGGTTTTTAGTCGTTATGACCAGAGGCATAGAATACGATGGCAAAATCTTTCCCACACGATGAAAGTTTTGTCACCACAGTGAGCCAAATATTATCAAAACCGATTCTTTTGCTGTAAGTTTGCCTCCGGTGACGAATCCGGTAAGAGCTTTGATTTTGCTTTCAACCGGTATGCGGGTTCAGTGGTGCAAACACGTTCATGACCGCCTGCTATTCAGGGTCTCGAAAACTAAAAGTGTAGGGTTCTTTTGGATGGGATTCCACCAAGTAACTTTTGAAACAAGCTTGATCAGGATTTTGAATGAAAATGATCCAACCGTCTCTTTGCATTTTGCCTTTTATTTTCTTCTGTTTCTGGCAGTAACTTCGTCGGGAAATAAGCATCGTGGAAGTTTAACTTCTTCACTTTTCTCGTCGATATTGCTTGGTCCATTATTAAGGCAACGACCAACGAGATTTGGCGCCAGAAAACTGCTGAAAGTAAACTCAGTGTCATTGCGGGATCGCAGTTTCATGACGTGCCGCGCTGTCCATTCGTTTATATTGGAGCAACTGGACCCCGGAATGTCAGCCCCAAAATAATCTCGAATGACGGGTATTATGACAGACGCTCTCCTTTGAGTCAATCAGAAAGTGACTGATTCTTGGATGATGGCCTTTTCATGTTGGACTTTGCTCGGTAGTTATTGGCCCCGTTTCGGCCGGAAATTCGCCTTGATGGCCCCGCCACCGAGTGATTTTATCAGCGCGCTTTGACAGATCCCGATCCCGGAGCTCTGTTGATGTTTTTCTTTCCCATGTCGTTTGTCCGAGATTTTCTTAGTTCATTATCCATGGTGCAGCTCTTGTTTGACAGATACGGCTCGGTCATTGAGGATGAAACCTGTCAAAATCTTTCGGCAGAGTTTCATTCTCATAAGAAAGACATGCGGACATTCATGTATTTTGGGCCCAACATCTCTTGGTTTGTGCTACATAAGGCAAAGTGGGGAAGTTAAGCTCAAAACTACCCCCGAGCAATATTTCCAAAGCTGTAAATACACGTTTTCCCAAACATTGATACTTGAACTAAAATAGACAGCCAAATGAAAAGCTTTGAAGGTTGATTTCATTTCTTCCGATGCTCATTTTCTCTTCACAAGTACCTACCTCTTCATGTAATATGTCATTTAAAGTTAAATGTCAACCTCTGTATCTCTGTATCTGTACGTTCTTAATACACATGGGGAAGAAGGTATTAAGGATAATTATAAAGTGGTTTATTTCAGTCTTTTCATTTAAATGATCACGTTGAAACAGATGAAAAATATCACTACAGATGGTTCCTTTTCTTTACATTTTTGACAGTGCTATGGATGATGACGAATTGTGTATAAATCTGAATGCTCATGACCAAGCAGTTTCTGTGTGTCTAGAGTTTCGGTTAGTTAGGAATTGAAAGAATTACAAGATAAGTATAGACATGGTTGTCCGAGAAAGATCAAGTGAGACACGCCTTTGAAATTGTCTTCTCCTTTAATACTTCAAGTTGTATCACGTGTGTACAAATGCGCCCTTTGCCTTTGGTTGAGAAAGTCTGCATTTTTTACAACAAAATCCATGACTTGATATTCAAAGAGGTCTATGCTTTTACATTTTTGGTCTTAAGGTTTGCAAGGCAATAATTGCACACAAAAGGTCCAGAAAAAACATACACGACTGACTACATGTTTATTAGGAAATTTTGAGGGCTGGAGACTTCGTCGTCTTGAGTATTGATTGTGTTCTTTCCAAGAACATTCAGAATAGATGACAGAAATTTGGTGTCTGCGTCTAAATGAAATGCCTTTTGCAATGTCTGAAAGGCTGTGTTTCCCTGATCGTGGGCCTGTGATCGGCGACTCGTTTGGCATAAGCTATCCAGGATGAAACGTCGAGCTTAACACACAGATTTTTTTCCACACTGTGATTGCTGGAGTCCAAGTTAAAGTGGCATCCGTTAACGTATCCACTATTTTTAGGAGCGGATAATACCAATTCTGAAATTTTCCTCTAAATATAACGAGATATCACATTTAACTCAACATTTTCAGTGCGCGTTGATAAACCTCTCTTACACCTGATTTGGCTGCTCCCTGTTATTAACAAACGCGGCTTTTAAGGGTAAATGCCACTGTTGGAAGTGTGCCGGTGATACATTATAATCGACTCCAGAAACACGAAATAGCTTGAACAGCGTTGTGTTGCATTGGGGGAAAATAACGGACAAGGAGTCAATTTAATTAGGGTAGTCGGTATGGGTAAAGGGTTTGGGGAGCTCTGTTGATCAACACTCTGTTAATCTGTAGCAGCTCAACACTTGCTATCGATGTAAGCCTCGCTTATTAGGATGGCACACGTTTCACATAATACGTCAATATGTTACCGCCAGGCCTTAAAAAGTGGCATCTAGCATTGAAAGCCACGATTTCTTAACAGCAGTAGAAATTGGACTGGACACTTTTCATGCCAGAAAAGACGGCAATGAATATCTGTCTTCCTCAAACTGTTGTTATCTGGTTTGCCGATTTCCTTCCTTTGTACCGAGCCGTGTGAGGTAGTTTAACATCAAGTGATGTTAAGTTAATTCATGTTTTCGTTTTTTTCATTTCTTCGTCGGGCTTAGTTTTCTAACTATGAAACACAGGAATTTGATAGAAGCTGGATTGTGAATTGTTAAACCTGCAGTTAATGGAAAAAAAAAACTGATGAGAAAATTGTTATTGAATACTTTCAAGACCAAAACAGATTCAAAATCACGAGCACGATGCAAGTATCTCGAAACACTCTTTGTCGTATAAGATAAACATTATATTATTTCAACGATTATCAAAATAAGCCATCACCGATAATTGCGTTTATTATTGCTGATCATTTTAAACACCACGGCCGTACGTCAACTTGGTATAATCGACTGTCGTGAGGCGTACCGGTATGCTATTAATAGCCTTCCTGAATAGACCGCAGATCCTAAGCTATTTGTCAACCTTGTCTGTCGAGCGAATGCTAGAAAGTCTGCGGACAAAATCAACGTGGCAGATTAAATTAAGGCCATCACCATTTAGGGCTTCCCTTTCTTTTTTCCCTTGTTTTCAAAATCTGGTTCGAGCGATGAGCGTTGCAGGGCTCTTTGAAGGAAGCGTCGATTGACAGAGTCTGGGCTGCGCTAGGGTCGATGGTGAACTGCCGCGTGTGTGTGCCGCCGACTCAGTGTAGGTGGGAACGCGCCGAGAACAAGCCGCTGAAAAAATTTTAAGGGTTGATTTTGTTTGTCTGGTACAGGATAACGAAGTCACATTCATTACTAGCTGGTTCCTTTGTTTTTTTTTGGGGGGGGGCTTGCTGAGAGAAAAGTGAACACGTAGCTTAGAGGTCCTCATATCCCAGATTCCGTTGGGTTAAACATTAATAGTTTGTTCTGAAATTTATTATGAGATAATAACAGTAAATTATGCTTTGTGTACTCCCACTTTAGTTATGGATAATACTGGGCCGTGCATCTTTATAAAGGCTTTGTCATATTTTGAATGATATCAAGGACCGTGACAGGTTTTGAACAATGGCATATGTTTCCACTTCTGTTCCTGTCCTATTTGATAGGATATCTCCAGAAACAGTGTGTACCACAAAATGTCTCGATATCCTTCCGATCATCACCATTTACAGCTTTGAAAAATTCTTCAACGCTTGGGAAAAAGTCAGCGATCACAGACATCGCCTTGAGCCCTGAGCTTTTTGGAAATCCAAAAAGTGGCGAACGAAAGGGCGTCACACACTCACGTGCCAGAATTAAGCTTGAGGACTAACCTCTTAAACGTGCCGCAGGAGCTCGAACAAGTCACGTTTTTAGAGCACATACATGTGACCCAGCCTATCAAAATGAGTCGGAAAATACGAGAGCCTTTTTGAGTTAAAGGACTGTAAAATGATCTTGCAGAAATTAAATTAACAGTAGATTGTCTGCCTCAATAACTTAATCGCTTATTTTCTTCAGGTTGCCGAAGGGGTAGTACATCAAACAAATATCTCAGTTTTTTCTCATGAAAGGTAAAATGCTCCTACTGTGAAATGGCCTTAAGATTCATTTCGTAGGAGCCAGTCACATAATGGTATACTGTCGGCAAATTCACGTTGGTGTTTGCTGAGTATGAATAAACTGGCCCTGGAGAGGCGGTTGATTTCGAGGAGAATTCAGCATTCTAAATTTGACTGCGTTTTCCAATACTTTCCAATTTAGAAAGCTTGATGTGTCCTCCGGACTGGGACACCACACTGTGCTGGCCGGCTACTCCTGCAAACTCCTCCGTCGTCTTGAAGTGCCCTAACCTCGACTGGTTCGACCCCGATGGTAAGCACATCATGAACTGAGGATCAAAAACTTTGAGGGGTGTCGAAATTATTCTATGAATCCTAAATCGTGCCTTGCATATTATACCATCTTTAGGTGGAAACCGTATTTGTTTTTATTTCAAATGTTATTGTGCCCTTTTGGTGCAGATTAAAGCAAAGAGGTACAGACGGAACTCGCTCAAAAGGATCCACTCACTGTTGTATACCAGTGGTCTGTGAAAAAATGTACCTTGCCTATCCACGACAATGTTTGGATAGATTGACACGATCTCTCACTTTTTCGAGTAAGTCGCAGATTACTAAGGATGGGGTCAAACTTAACTTGGTCTCTGATTGATGACGTGACTGATGGTGATGCTACATCACAGAATAGTTTGACCAATCACAGATGGCAAACCAATATTATTTGACCAATCACAGATGGCAAGCCAATCATTATCTGGTATATTTTCGTCCTTTATTTCCCACTCTGCACCACAGCCAGCCTTTCCCGTTTCTGTGGCGCGAACGCAACCTGGGAATCGGGAGGCACTTACAGAGATTGCTTCGTCCACAAGAGTATTCCCACCAGGACACCAGACTATGACGACGTTTCCGATGAGAAAATTGATGTAAGAGAGCCAAGTACCTAATCGTCCTGTGGAATGTCTGTCAATAAAATGTTTTGACGAACTAAATATGTTCACAGAAACCTAGTATGCTTTCCAGCTGTACGTATTTAAGCTTCGTATAAGGACTTGCTCGTCAACCCACAACGCATGCAACGCATTTTATTAACATCAAACATGAAACTGGCATGAATTTAAGGTTACTGTTAAGTCTAGCTTATTTCCCTATTGTTATTTCAGTTTTATTTAGAAGTTCTCCAAGGTGCCAATTTCATGCGATTAATCGGCGTCTGCTTGTCGTGGGTTACACTGGTGGTGGCGCTATTGATCTTCTCAACCTTTCGGTGAGTAAACTAAAAACATGATTTTGAGAGAGACTTTGTCCGTGTTGAGCACAAACCAGAATAAGTGTATTCTTGATATTTCGATAAGCTTACCTTTGATACCTCCCGCCATCGTCTTGTGATCGGTTCCCTCCCGGTTCCATACCGTAGTTCACGTTAGCCTTCTGTCATTTTTTTTCATCTTAATTCTCTTTTATATTTGTGTTGTATATCTTGTATTATTGAGTCGTGCGTCTTTTCATGAAACCTGGACTTTAAATCTCTCGTCTTGCCTTGTCCTGTCCAACACCGCCAAACCGAGCTTCATCTCTGGATCTTCTACATCGCCAAGTCGTTTCTCGTTTAACGATTTCCACCATTTCGTTTAACAGAATGCTTATCATGTGGTCTTTAATTCTCCGTGCCAGTTTCGCCATGTAGGTCTGATCCCCTTGGTCCTCACATCTAATCTCGTCGACCAATTTCGTACCAGGAAGCACATCTGTTAGCACCGACATTTTTTTGGGCATAATTTCATCTCTGTTCTCGTCATGCTTTATTATATTTCCCTTGATTTCCCTGTCTTCTACTTGGTGTCTTCCTTTATCACCTTATCAAAGTCTTTTCAAATTGCAAGGTTCTCCTCATTTCATACCAAGTGTAGTCTCATTCTATTTCTCGCTGCTGCTCATCTTGTCGTCATTCTGCCTCATCTCCAATGAGATTTTTGCTTTCATCTGAGCTTAATCGAAACGGCATATCTTTACTTAACACGACAAAAAGTGGTGATAAATTGCCACACATTGCAGTGTATACAATATCTATCAAATGCCCGTCCTGTTCATTCATCAAACGGTAGCAGTGTTGTAGTATTTGCATTGTAGGTAATTTCGACAAATCCATCTCGTGGAGCATTTCAAAACGCCCAGAGTCCCATTGCATCCTCAGTAAGGTCCCCCCAAGGGAATGCCAATGATGGTGTATTTTCAGGATGGCGACTGTTCCCAATCCGTCTTGCCCCAGCCGATTAATTTCAAGCCGGCCGTATGGACTGTACGGATGCCTTTTCGCTACCCGGTTGTGTTCTGAACAAATAGTGCACCGCGTGCGAGACCGTGCACTTCTCCTCGTCCCGGGGAAAAAAACGAGTCAGTGACAGCTGAAGTGGTGCGAATCTTTGTGCCAGTCTTTGTGTTCGTCCCGTTTCTGTCTTCGCGGGCCCGTCAGCCCCTCCGCCTGTTACGCTTCATCATCCCCCTACGCTTTCATCATTTTCCCTGCTTCGTCACGGCTCGTCTCTCGCTCCCCCTTGCTTCATTTTCTTCCCCCAGTCGTATGAATAAACAAGAACCACAGGATGAAAGTAAGAGGGAAAAAATCCGCAGCCTGTCGTTTTCCCGCGGAAGACAAGTTGCCCTCGAGGCACTGTCTGGATTTGAAGGAGATTTTATATTTAGGAATGTAAAGTGAGAGAGAAGAAGTACAGGAACCGGGTATGGATTAGAAGGGTTCCCTACTCTAGTCGCTGGCTCGGCCTTAGAAGCAGTTTCACTTCCGAGATCGTATCCACCTTGAGCAGAAGCAACCTCTCTTCGGTTGGAAAGCCATGTGGATGGGAAGTGTGCAGTTTGGTGGTGGCGACGCGTACGCAACACATGCATCTCAAAGTCGTTTGTGAACAGCGAGGTGGAATTCCTTCCAAAGGAGCCTCCGTTGGTGTGGGAACATCGCGCCTTCTCTGGGTGCCTTTTGGGGCCCATTAAATCCCAAAGTTCCCCATGTTTGTAAAGAACGATTGCTTCGATATTCCAAACTTAGCAAATATCAGAATCTCTCTTAACAGATGACAGATGTGCCTCAGACAGACCTAAGTAGACAGAAAGCCTGGTACACCGAGAAGATGAGAAACGTATGTTTTGGGAGAGTAGACCCCACGATTTACTTTAAACTTAAACCAAAGTTGTCATTTAAGATTGGTCGAATCGAATCATTTTAAAATCAAATCTTGCACTTGGATGAAAAAGAAAGCGGTATGGACGCTTAACACCGAGATACATTACAAAGAGAGGTGCGCCTACCTAGGGATAGTTGCAGATGGGCATGATTTGAATGATAACGGTCAGCTGCCAAGTTGACTGGTATGACAGAACTACTGTAATAGAGCCGGCCCAGAATTTGACAAGTAGCCCGTTTCAACCCCCCCCCCCGGAATCCCCCGACCCCCACTTCTGAGGTCGCCAACGGGGCTGAGAGGTACAGGCCCCCGTCGCACAAGACCTCAGGCGGCCTCGTTCAACGTTGATAGGGTAACGCATCGCTCTCAGCTGGAGAGATTGGCTTCTGCGAACTGCACGCTTCTTGCCCCCTTCGCTATCCCTTAACCGTTGTTTGTAACTACCGAGGTCCTAATCCCCGGTAATTAGTACCTCTCAGCGCGCTTTCTTGTGACAGCATCTTGGGCAAGTCATCCATTTTCTTGGAGATTCTTGCTTTGACTAGCAACCAGTTTATCTGTGTCACCGCCGTCGAGTCGAAATGGAGATCGACCTCTTGCTCGAAGCAAATACTTTTTCTTGCCAGATCTATTCCATTTAAAAGAAATAAGAATTCTCGAATTAAAGAACGGGTAAGACTGAATAGATTTTGGAGTTGCATAGTCACGCCAAGTAGTGGATACACCACTCCAGCCCAGTCATTCCAGGCAAGGTTAGGAATATGGGGTATACGTGGACAAATGTCAGGCATGTTTGGAGGACGATCACATATTAATCCGTAGTTCAATCAACGTCACCCAAACCATGCATAGTTGGACTATCTAGTCGACCATCAGCAACCAGGCCCTCAGGCGCAGCCCTGTCGCTGGTTAACAGTCCTTTGTCCTAATTAAGTACAGAAGGAGCCATCACGTGAAAGTAATCGTGTGAAATGGCAGAGACCATGAACTCAACGACAGGTGCGACTAACGGTCAACGTCAGAGACGATGGGATTTCGCTAAAATGCTCGCTTTGAGTCGTTTCTGTGGCACCGTATTGCGTGTGCAAGTTGATGATAAGCAGTTGACCAGTGATCTGGCCCTGGGTTGTTTAAAAAGTTTACCCATGAACAACGTTTATCGCACGTGTTTGTCAAGGTTATTGTAAAATGGACAGTATCTGGTATACTCAACGGTCAGCGATGTGAGGGCAGGGCTGGATCTCAAGGAAATTACATTCAAACACAGAAGCTCTGTGATAAATTCGTAACGGGCAAAGTGTTAACGATGTTGAAAAGCAAACACCGATGGAGTAAAGGTTGGCCGCTCATGTGAAACTCTGTTTCACCGCGAAGGGGAAACCCAATTACCCGTCCTCTGCTCTTAGATTTAAGAATAAATAGAAAGGACTTCCCAGTGGCTCTGAATAAAAAAACCCGTGGGGAAAAAGTACTGGATTTTACTACACTTGCCTCAGGTACTGCCACAAATCTATCGAAGTCAGCTTCCAATCATAAGACGACCTTACCCAGGGTCGTCCGAATCCAACAGACGAAAACAACTGATTATCGGTGAGTTCCCTTATTCGTGGCAAATCCCCACCTCCCGAGTCGTTTAGAAACTGAAAAGCTTATTGTGAGACCGACCTTCCCTCGGATTCTGTTTTAGATCAACTTAAGGGAAACACTGCTAAATCCACAGCAAAGAACGGTAGATTATTTAAAATTCACGTAGTCCTGCAACGCTTAGAATCGATGCAGTACTAAGCGTTGGAAACCAGAAACTGAAAAGCTTATTGTGAGACCGACCTTCCCTCGGATTCTGTTTTAGATCAACTTAAGGGAAACACCGCTAAATCCACAGCAAAGAACGGTAGATTATTTAGAATTCACGCTGTCCTGCAACGCTTAGAATCGATGCAGTACTAAGCGTTGGAAACCAGAAGATCGCTTGCGTAAAAGTTCAAAGCAACGGAGAAAGGATCTAAGTGATGCTGCTTTCCAATAATAAACAGGCAATTTCATCTCATCCCGAGGGACGGTGGTTGGTTTAATTTCCACCAGCGGCAAAAAACACCTTTCGCTTAAAGTGGAGCAACTACTTATTGGACTATCATGCTTGGAACATGGTAGCATCATCCTGTTTCAATGTTGGTTCCCTGGGGCCAGCAGGCGTTTTAAAAAATCCTGGACACGTTTAACGTGGAAGTAGATGAAAAAATCGCTAACACTTAAATGATAAAAAATGGGTGATATGAAATGGTGTTGCTTAACAATTGAAATGGAGATTTGCAATGATTTTTCAGGCTTGTAGAGTCGATTTAGTGCCACACTCATATGTTGCTACTGGCCCAGTTATGGCTTTGAAAATTGGCAATAAATTTCTTTTTTTTTTCAAAAGGAATACATAGACATTGAAATGACAGTTGTAGTGTTATGAGCTTTGTAAATGGATGCCCAATTTGGGACAGTTATGGGTCGAAATACTGTTTTATTAGTTTCAGCTTTAACTATCGCCGTCGTTGGATCCGTGGCTTGTTTGTGTAAGTCATCAGCGGATAACGGGTGATTTGTCATTCCAGTTGGTCAGTAATTTTGCAGTGACATTGAAATTCTCGGTTGTAAGCTCTGGAGTCCTTGTTCCAAGTGCCGCTGATCATTGCGGTATGACGGATGGCCGGCTTGAGAAGTTTGTGTGAAATCCCGAGTGTTTAAATTTCAAGGCCAAAGCCATTCATTACTGTTTTTTTATGGAACAGTCATTAATTTCACGCTCAAAAAAGCTCAAGTAAAGTTTGCGTTTGTTTCGTCATTAAAAAGTACGGTACAATAAGTCATCAGTCGTCTGGTATCCAGTTATTATTAATCATTTCTGCTAATGACACCACGGAATCCTCAAAAGTGCCCTCGGCACGGTTGCTCTAAGCCTGAAGAAACCTGCGGAGAGGACACAATGACAAGCACTAACAGTTTTAGAGGTAGGAGGAAATTCCTAGAGGGATATTCTTGGTATAGAAAAAAAAACCACGGAATCAGGTAGGGACTGAAAACCCAATCCACATGTGGACCAAGCCGGGATTCGAACCCAGACCGTAGAGAAGGAGGGAAAAACCACAACGCCAACCCAACTGTTAGTAGCATATAGACACCGCAATTTTGTTTTTTTCCTCTATTACTATTGTATAATTTGCTTTGGTTTTAAATAGTTTTTGTTTGCCTCGATTTTTAAATTGTTTTTTTTGTGTGTACTTGGTTTTAAATAAGTTTTCAGTGTAATGCGCCTTTGATCACTTCGGTGGAAAGAGCGCACTATAAATTCTAAATTATTATTATTTTTATATGACACATCACCAACAGATTCTGTTCTTTCGGCCAATCTTGCTTTTCACGTCCAAAAGAACTATGTCAAAAAACTATGTCAACAAGAGTAATGTACCCATAGCAACCAAATTACTCTACACATGACCACCGGCACTGGTATGCTCGCAATGCACATTCAAAAGTGATAGTGCCACGATGCTGGGTTCAAACATTTCGTAAAGAGGTAGTTTGGGAAAGAGTGCTGGTAGATTTTAAACAAATTTCGCATTCAAATAGGCATACCTCTTGTGGGCATTCAGATCAAATTACTCGGTTTTATCGCTTGAAATAAGCACAATCTGTGGGAGAGGTGTTATAAAAACAAATATTGACTGCTTCATCTCGAGGTTAACTAAACTAGCCTCCCTGGATGATCCACGGAGCATATTATTACTTTCCTGAGGCAAACCCGAGAGAAAATAGAATGCCCCGTGGATCACCGAGGCAGGTTAGTTTTACTCTGCCAATCGAAGCAGTCAATATTTATATACTATGAGCAGATGAAGAGGAGCAAAGTTGACTTGGGGTGTGACATAATCCACTGATTATATGTTGGCAGAAATGGGACACCAGTTCTTTGCGGTTGGTTGTCAAACCTTGATCAGAAACACCCCTAATAAAAGGGCCATGTTGGTTGGGAGTGTTCCTTCTGTTGGTATTGATGCAACCATAACGCGTTCATTTCATAGTAGTTTGTCAACCAGCGAAGTTCAGTTCTTACCAAAGGAGCCTCCTTTGCTAGGGAAATTACGCCCTCTCTTGGTCCAGCTCAGGGCTCATAGGACAACAGCCTTTACAGGTACGTTTTGTGTGACGGCTCTGTGATCTCTCCATTGTTTTATTTATTTCAGGAGCCTGAACTGTAATCGTATCAAGATTCACAAGCACTTCTTCGCAGCCTTCCTGATCCGAATGACCCTAGAGGTGATTCTGGTGGCCGACAGACGACACAAGGAGACCAACAGAAATCAAGGGAACATAGACGTCAAGACCATTCATCTGACTGTAAGCTTCCGTCTGTTGCATTCGCTCAAAACCCCCTGCAATATTATAAGCCCTTAATTAAAACCCTCCGAAGAACCTTCGGCAGCAGGGGTATGTTTCAAAGCCCCCCTAGATTTAGAACACACCGAGAAAGCGTACTCATATGAAAGACTAAAAGTATCCATTCCAAATCAATAATGTAGAACTCAGTATGTCCCGCAAATTTGCTGGGGATTGGAATGAGCAATATTACCTGCTTAAAATGGTCCCAAGGGGGATATTATTGCAACTTATTAATACTCACTTTTGCTGCAACCTAAACGCGAATTAAAACCTGAAGAGGTCCTTCCGTTTGACCACGTGTAGTGCTCTTACGTGGCCAGAGGTGGCTTGCCAGGTACATGTGTGATTCTCAGTGTAACGATTTGAAAGGTTATGCAATTTCAGCAAAATGATTTAGCCAAAGCCGTGCTCTCCTGATCTCATATCGTCTCAAAACGGCCTCACTGTAGTTTTACATGAACACATTTAGCCTACGTCTGTAGCAAAAAGAAATGGATACTTCTGGCCCCATCGATTTATATCTGGGGCCTTGATAAAGGCAAAACGAGTATAAACCGTAATCCCCTAGGGTATATGCAAAACTCTGATTGAAATCGGATTAATCAGTGTCTTGGCACATTTCCTTTGGTGTCCCACAGCCGGTGCTGTGTGAGACGTTCGAGACCATCCGCGAATACGGCCGGCTGTGTGCTTTCTTCTGGATGTTCATTGAGGGCTTCTACCTGACGTGCTTGGTGTCTGCCAACGTCTTCGGCAAGCCCCGCTTCCTCCTCTACTACATCGTTGGATGGCGTAAGCAAGTTGGCATCATTTCTTGGCCTCAGCTTGTTTCTAACTTGCTGATCGAAAATTGGAACAGAAATCGCTCTCTCGCCTCTATTTCAATAGAATCTATGTCCCCGCGCTAGATGCTTCGCACTCAACGTCACATCTCTCGTAACACTTTGTGTTCACCATCTTTGACGCCAAGACGTTTTGTAGAAAGTATTGTTTGTTGTGGCCACTGTCACAACGTGGTGAAAACCCACTACTCTAGAGAATTGTGGCCTTTTTGGACATTGACAGCTGGCTGTCAGATATGACGAAGGTTTTGCTGCAAATGTCAGACGAGTTTAGACACTTGGTAGTAATCAAAATTTCAAAATCAACCGCTGGCAAGTTCATCCTCATGCGTGCAAGCGAAGGTAACAGACATTCACAGCCTGCAGAAATCTTTCTGTGCACGAGGCACACAGTGTTCCAGAACCTTACCTTTTCGTCATTTTGTGGCCAAACGAATATCCGTTACTTCAGCACACTGACAGTATCCCTTGCTCATGGGATTTCCTAGCACACTGCTCAAATAATTGAAAGAAAATAACTTCATATTGAGCAGAACATGTTAGTTACACTAGTTATGTCTCAATGCAATTTTTCTTTCAAATAGTTCTTCCGGTCCCGATCGTCATCAGCTGGGCTATAGCCATGTATTACACCAGCACGGCGAGGTAAGCCATCATCTTTAAATCATAAAAGTAGTGACGATGTGAATAGTAATGAACCTGGGTGCCAGGATGGGTTTTGTGCGAGAGGTAATGAATCATTTTTGAGGTGTACACGCACGTGGCCAGAACACTTCACTCGGGGAGTGCTTCAGGGCGAGCGGTGACATTATATATTGCTCGCTTTCTTCAGTCAGGAATAGTCTACGTCGATGCCTACCCACATTATGCCAAGGGGTATGCTGCCGCTTAAAACTGGCCTGTACCAAAGTTTGTGATTTTTTGTGCACATTCAGTCCGAAATCATTGGCATTGTGAGCGCAGTGCAGTGGGATCGTTTTAATACACTGCTGTGCAGAACAGGCTTAGTTTGAGACCCAATGTAAACATGGGGAATTGCCTGATGGCTATCCACCCCGAGTTGAAGTGCACCCCCAAGCTGCAAAAGAAAGACGTGGTTGTAAGTTTTCCAAGCGGGTTCTTGCACGCGTTCTGCGTGTACGCAAAGACCACACATAACAGGAATAAATTTGTTATGCTTACTCAGCGTGCTTCACGTCAAACGCACCACTGATCTCTATTATAAACGCGCGCTTATGCGTTACCGAAATAAAAACACAGAAAACATAAAAAACACACACACACACACACACACACGCCCTCTTTTGTTGCGCTCGGAGCGGATATTCAAACGCTCTCGTGTACATCCCACAAAATGCTCTGGTTTGAGCTAGTCAAACGCACCCCAGTGTGCCCTGATCAAATGCCCTGGTTTATTTGTAGACCTAACTTTGTGTCGTCACATTTGATGGCCATTTGCAGCAGATGTGTGCTCACCAAGTGTAAATAACGTGCGTTGCCTTTCCCTCACCGCACTGACTCTGAATCGATGTATCAGTTAAGATGCACGGATTATGGGGGGGGGGGGAATGGCCTTGCCTTTGAGACGAAATAATTGCCACAACAACGCAAGATATAAAGTGCATGGCCGCAGACAAGTACCCTCAGATTGGATTATGTGGAGTTTGGAAGTTCATCGTCTCACAATTGATACTGGCACTGTGAAAATGGCTGACAGAAAGTGATTCCAGTGGCGATTAAAGGTATCTGGGGACTCAAGTTTTAATACTTGCTTTTTGGGATTATGGTGGGAGCAGGCACGAACTAATTAGAGCAGGTTGTACGCATTGTCCCCATTGGGGGATTCATCAGCCTGCGAGAGCCAGTCTCCACAGTTGACACTCACGCGAATCCGGGACTCGCACGTGACTTTTGTGCCAATTTAGCGAGATTTTATGCTATCGGACAGAGATCAGGCACCTGAGTACTATGGCGTCAGTTGAATTGACCGGTAAAGAAATAATCGTGTTCATTCAGCGTGGCTGTTGTACAAGTTGTCAGCCGAAATTTCAGTCGATCTATACTACACTGCTAAAAAGGGTGAATGGCTTGATAACGTGTTATCTCCGGAATTTGTCGCTCTGCCAGTTTCCGAGACGATACTTTTCAGCAATTTCTTGAAGGTAACATGTCGTTATGTACGGCCGACCAGTATGAATTACAGGTTAAATTTAGTTAATTTGTGAATTGAACGAATGAAACTGAGTCACTCAGTTTTCCTAACAGGCCAAACAGTTCAAAGTATAAGAATTCCTTTGAGACAACAAAACACATTAAAGCGTTAACTCTATAAAGAGAGGTTTATTCGTCACATATACTCAAACAATAAGTGGTAAAATTACTCGTATGCCAAATCTAGTGTGCAAAATAAGGTTTTCCCCTCCAAATTGAAAGTGAATTTTTTTCTGTCTTATCCTATGCTCCAGTGGACAATAGAGTGAAATTAGAAACTCCTCCGAAAATAGACTGTGGTTATTTGGTGAATGTAAACGTGTCAACACAGAAAAACCATTCTAAAGCGTGTAAGTGACGAAGTCCGGATCCGCGTACATCTGTGACGATGGTGCTCGAGTGCGGGCAAACCTCGGGTTCAACGCGCTTTCGGGGACGGGGGGGGGGCGGTGATCCAAGAAGAGTCTACGCTCCGGTAAATAATGTGTCTTGTCGTTCAGAGATTGAATTTCTGCAATAGTGTTCCAGCTTGATGAAGATTGCTACTTCTGCACCCTTCAGTTCTCTTTTTAATAAAAAAATCGAGGACGGGGGAGTTACTAAAAAGGGACAAAGTCTCCCCCTCTTAACGGGGCCAATCGCGGTTGTTGTGTTAATACGCAGCTATAATATTCTAGCTCCGTCTAGCCCCATATCTTTAAAAATAATAAAGCTAGATAAGAACTTCAAAGTTTTCCACTGTCGAGTATTTGAGGTGAGGGACATCAGGTCCTGAGTGCTACCGGCGCTAAGCCAGTTCTTCAGAACTCCCTCAAAGGACGCTATAAGCGTGGCAGTGCGGCGGCAGATTTCGCAAAATTGTTTTCGCTCTTAACCACGTGTGAAGCACTGAAGTTCAGACTCGTCCAGCAAGATAACGACCACTGTTGTTAGTGACTGAGGAAACTTTAAACAACCTACTTGGCGGACGAATGTCCAAGAGTGCGACTGTATTACTTTCAATGAAGAAATCCATACCGCCTTTACAATCTCTCTTTGCAATGTTGACCTTCTTGTTACATTCCAAATATTGGCAGTTTAGTCCACGGATTGGTATTTCGGCGCTTATCGAAATTTCGACTGCTTGCCTTCGAATTAGCCTTAAACGTTAGCCCCTCTGTCAACCCTTATTGGAAATAGTTTCACCAAGTTGCATATGTTAACTCTCAAAGAGGGTTATTTTGGACGTACCATCTTGGGGGGGGTTCCGCCCCTAGAACTCGGCTGCTCCATACCCAATTCTTTTAAATACTTGGTAGGCACTCTTATCAGTACGAAATGTGAAGTTTCAACCCTAATTGTCATGGTCAAGGTGTTATGGTCGTTTGAAGTTGAAGGCCGTACACTTGCCAGCCAGCTTACATTGAGCACAGTATTGATTGGAAAATTATAGGTGTATTGGCTGACTTGTCTCAGAAAAATGGGCACTTAGCGAGAACAGTACCTTTGATTTCAGCAACATGATGTAAAAATGACTGGAAAGACGTACCAAAATATTTACTAAGGGCTCAGCTAGTGTGGGAAAAATGTACAACCGTGTTGAAGGTAAAAAAGGGTGTGTGTGTCGTATTCAGCCCCCAGCTCTACCAGGGCTATTACTATTGAGCAATCACCTTAAGTTATTGCGCAAGGCCAAGCCAAGAAATCAGAGCCACAACGATTGCGCTTGGCTTTGGTGCTTGGTTTTGTCTGCTTTCATTTCCCCCACGCCGTTAAGTCTCCAAGTTCTCCCCCGTCCATTCTCGAATTATCAGGTCAATCTCCGCTCGCTGCTTTTGGGTGTTGTGACAAGCGAAGGTTATTTGACCTCGAAATTGTCTCTCCCGTTAAATTGATGCAGAGCCAAGTGCAGTGAGGCGCGAGAAGACATCTCTCTCGGTTACCCGCGGATGCCCTTTTCTGTCTGGGGGACACAGTTTGTGGTTGTCATGTTGACTTGTCTCAACGGTTGATGTGTTGATTTTTTTTTGAAAGGGGTTTAAGTTGCATTGTCTCAGACGGGTTGGGATCAGATTTCAGGGGACCGGGCTACAGATGTTAACCTTTGGAAAAATTGGAAATAAATCTGCTTGATCTCCCTCTTGCGAATCTTTCTGTCATTCCTGCTCGAAGGACCAGTGTTTGTAGCATTGGAGAGACCTTCTCGAATGTCGGTTTGCGACTCGGTCTGATACGAGCCTGGAGTCTCCAAATGCAATGAATGGAGAAAAAAAATCATAACGCGGATTCTGTAGAATAAGGCAAGCGATATGCAGGGGAACATGTAGACCAGCATACATAACCCCCTTTAAGAAACATCAACTGAAATTTATTTTATTTATTGTTACTTATTTATATCTGTCCATCCAATATCACTTTCAGCGCCAACTACAGGATGAAGTGATAATTGAGAAAACATTAAAGTAATGTTCAATTTTAGAGTTGGGAAGAAAACCCTGATTCAATATTCCAGGGAAAATTCATGGAATCAGGCAGAAATTAAAAACCCAATCCACATGTTGACCTTGGTGGGATTCAAACCCAGGTCGCAGGGGTGGCCAGGCGAGGAAAAAACCAACTACACCAACCTGAATCCCGCCCTCTCTCCCCACTTAGAGAGCTAACTTCATTTATTACAGGTATAGCTCAAAGATATCCAAAAACCATTATGCTCGCCGTTTGTTTGAAAGAAGATTTAAAACAACCCTTCTGGTCTCTGGTGCCTGCCGTCAGCCACCGTAGTGAGACAACAACTTGGTACGGCTGCGTCAGTTACTTGACAAAGGGTTCTGTTAGCATGTTGAACGTGCGAGGAAAACTGCAGCAAGCCGCAGGGCTGTTGCACTGTCATTCTCAGGGAAATGAGGGCTTGAAATGTCAGGCGCAAGAAAGCGAAGTCCTTCGTGCCGGACGTGGCGACACGCCATTAGCGGCCATCAGTGGCTGGAGTGGTCGCGTTATCTGCCATCAATCCCTGCTGAAACTTCACGGCTGATGGCTCTGAAAAAAAAAACTTGGTTCCATTTGAAGTGAAGTAGTGCAGCCCAGCGCCCTCGGGCGATCGGGGGACAGCTAGGGTGGCCTCGGGTGCACTCTCCAGTTCGACCACGCAGAATCGCAGAGGCGGAGCGTCCCGGGCATTCTGCGTGGTGTGGTGAAAATGGGTGTAGGACCTTAGGAGAATACTACACTTAGCGTCAGTGGGGGATGTAGGTCTTTCGTTTAATGGGTTTTCGATGGAGTATCCGCTTCGGGCAAAGCTTACTCTGAAAAAGGAAGCTGTTGCGAGGTATCAGAGTTTTTGTATTTCTTAAAATAGTGATCAGAGTGGCCTATTTGATTGACCACAGGTCTAGTACTGCCGATTAACGTTTGCTTCTGAAAGTGCAATTCAGGCCTCTTTCTCCAGTAGTGTCGTTTCCTGAAAAGGGTCAAAGGCCTCCAAGAGTACGTTTTATTCCCCTCTCGCGTCGACTACCACGTACACCGTCACCGCTCTTTCAAGGCACTGTGTACTAAGCAGAAAGAGCATTGCGGGTTATTCTTGCCCTAACAATGCATATGCATATAATTCATTCAATACGCGCGTTTCACACCCCCCCTGCCCCATCGCGGAGACGTTAACCTGTGTTATTGTTTAAAGGAATTCCATCCCAATGGTGCTCTGTAAAACAGCACGCGTCGATAAAGAGCTGTGCTGTGAGGCCGGTGCCGGGACCAGCGAAATGCACTCAGGTGCACTCGGTCGTTCGTGCGTCCTTCTAGGGCGTATTCATCTTGATTGGAATCAGACAGGTCAGGCTTTTTGGGTGTCGCCTCGTCTTGCCACTTTGCTCCCGATGTAATCAGCAAGGACTACTTAGAGGATGGAGACAAAACGAGTAAGGACAAGAAAAAAAAAGGCGCAGCGAGTTTGGCAACTTGGATTCATATAATCGACATTACCTGAAGTAATATCAGCCAAATAAACATGTTGGTATTTCTCTTGGTACCTACTTCGTCATGAAGGAACTGACCACATACGTCTCTCTATTAAAAAATTTACCTATGTCGATGGCATATGGTTTACGTAAATACTTGAATGTTTGAAATTCGTGTTTGCTGTTTGCCCTTGTTCTCGATATTATTGCAATATACCTACGTTCCATATGTCGCTATTTACTAAATGTCACGCGACAACATCGATGATTTTGACGGATTGCGTCATTCTGAAATTCCCCCACTCATTGTAACCATCGACAGACGTGGAGAGGGAGAGAGAAAGCGAGAGTGTCTTCAGGTGACTCAAGAGGGCGCGATTTGTGACAGCTTGTCAATGACGTGTGCCCCTCTCATCGTTGTTTTTCGGGGGGGGGGTCACTCGAAGACGTAATTCATCGGCGTTCCAGACTCGAGATTCCTCCGATGGTGACGGAGCGCGCCAACAGCGATACCCCGGGGCCCTACTTGCATAACCCTTGCCCCCGATTTTCCGATTAAACCTTGTACAATATATTAAGCAATAGTGAATAGAGGTACTCTCAAAGGCCAGTGATGACTTGCTGCATAGAATACACGGTTTCCCGTATTAGCATAGTCCTGGGCCCCTGGAAGCTAATGTCTTGTCTTGATAGATTCTGCGCCAACACCCCTCTTCAGGGGTTACAAGGGCAGGATTGGTTGTGCGCTTGGATCTGTGATATAGTTACTTATTTTGCTTCTTCTCCTTTCGGGTGATATTGAAGTGTGTGTTGAGGGCAATTTGGAAACTTTCTATGTCCAGGATTCTTGTGATCTCTTTGGGCAAAGAGTTCCAGATAATGCTCGATAATAGATCGTGCTTTGTGCGCCCTCCAGCGACTCAATAATAAGACCAGCCTGTTTGCTTCCACTAACGTCTTGGGAATCTCTTCGAAGAGATTATCCTTCTTAATGTTTTTTCACTCAACCAAAGCATGAAATCCAGACTCCTTTGATGAAATTTTTTCTATTTTGACGCGAACATCTCAGTTCACACTCAGTTCGAGTGGATGCAGAAATTGCTGAATTTGCATATAGACAAAAACAGAACTTTTCATAATTCTTTCAGGGTTCTGTTGTTAATTATTCCATTTGGCGAAAAAAAATACGCAAACTTTGTTCATGTATCTTAGATTTGGATTTTTTCATAATAACCTGGCGCGCATGAGTGACATCGTGGTGGAAAATCACCCCACGACTATTCTATCGTGTTTGTGGGTTTTGCTTTCTCTCTCTTACCATGGCGCAATTAGCCCTTGAAAATTCCTGGACATCTTTCCTGGAGGTTCTTGTCACACCCGTCGGATTCACAGCACTCCGGCTGTCAGATTGGAACCGTAATGCTTAGCAGAGATGTGCTTTGCCCAAGGCCCTTCTACCGCGCTCGCTCGCTTGGCGCAATCGTGTAATTGCTAGGACGATATACAGAAAGCGTTCCACCACAGGGCCGAGGTGAAGCACGTGTCGTCGAAAGGTCCGGGGCTACTTCACAAGAGCTCTTATCGTCCTCTGATGTCGTCAACATGTTGACATGCTCTTCTTGGAGGTGGTTCGCGGCGTACTTCCCGGGATGTCAGCGTGATGAAGCGAGTAGCTTTTCCACCACTCGTTTGCAGAAACGCTCGCGACGCTCGCCCGGTGGGTAAATGCGTGGTGGTGCGTGCATGAAATGCTCGGGTTATATACGTGTCGTGGCAGGACTGAAGCGAAGCAAAACTCGCGTAAATCGCTCGTAATTCATTTGAGATGCGCCAATACAGCATTGTGAGACACGGCTTTTCTTTCAGCTTCAATGGTTTATAACCGATTGAGGGGTGCAGTTGGGGTTCTGATAAGGATAAGGATAGATGGCAGTATCTAAAAAGATTGATAATGCTCTTGAAATGCAAAGACCACTTCCATAAATGGTTACCTGTTAAGTTGTCCCTTTAAAATTAGTGAAAGTGCTTCACTATTCCTGCGTCGTTTTTATTATTAGCCCCAAAGAAACACTTTCATTAGAAGGCAGATCCCCCTGTCTTAGTGAGTGGAAAAACCTTTCAAAAAGAGTTATATTCTACTTCACTTTTTAGATTATAGAGTACATATATGACATAGGCCTACCACTGGTTTCAAAACCTGGGATTGTAGGTACTTTGCAGGAACAGTGTTGTTCAAATTAACTGCCATTTTCTTGTATTAAAAGAAATCAAGTAAAATTTCACTGATTTACATCCTTCGATCTGCCTTTTTTTGTTAATCAGGTGCTGGAAGGATCACGCCGTGTCGCCGTACTACTTGATCATAGAAGTCCCCCGAAATGGCGCCCTCATTGTGAGTCCGTCCTCAGAATCCAGTGTTGAGCCGGGAATGTTTTTTGCTTTAGCAAACATATTTCGAAATTAAAACAAATGTATGTGGCGTGAAGACACCATAAGTGATTCTTGAATCCCAGCTGAGAACAAGTTGATTTGTGACGGAATTTTGCCCAAACGATGTTTGTTTCTCCTTTTATGCAGTGTCACCATTTACAGTAAACCGAAAAACCTTGCCGTTCAAATAAAATCCTGTTGTTTTTCTTAAAATAGGAAAAGTTTGACTAAATGAAAAGGCAGTTTTTCTATAGAAGTTTTTATTCTAGAAAAGTTAAACATCTGAAACCGTGTCACATAAATGGTCTCTTGACTTGTTATTGTTTTCCATAGATAAACGTTCTCTTCCTGGTCAATATCGTTCGGGTTCTGGTGACAAAGCTTCGAGACAGCAACTCAAGCGAAACAAAACAGATTAGGTATTTTCAGTAGCGTTTAGCAGGAATGCTCTTATATAAAAATGCCCCTTTAGTGTGGAGGAAAATTTCTTAAACAAGTAGCCTAGAAATTGTTACAATCGTCGCTTGAAAGGTTTGGGAGTAAGAAACGATTTGATGTCACCCACCTTAAGCAGGAGCACCCCATCATCGCTCCAAAAGCGCCAATTGGTGAGTGTTCATTTTGTTGGTAGAGACTCGTAGGCCGCTCCAGCATCCCATAGTCGATCGTGAACCAGCGAAGAGGAGTTCCCACCAAAAGAGCCTCCGTTGCTAGGACAATTGCGCCCTGTCTCGGTCCAGCCCGGGGCCCATGCCACACGATATATCTTTCAGTCTAATGGCAGCAAGATACATGACCTCTCACCTCTCCAGGAAAGCTGCCAAAGGCGCCGTGCTGCTGATCCCTCTCCTGGGCGTGGCCAACTTGGTCTGGTTCATCCCCAACCCTACGGCGCGCGACAGCCGGGCCAGCATCGTCCTCTACAACTACTTGTTCCTCTTCCTGGACTCCTACCAGGGCTTCTTCCTCTGCGTCATGTACTGCTTCTTGAATCAGGAGGTATGAGCCGGAGAGCGTGACATGAGATCTAACTGCAGACACGCTTAAATATAAGGCGTAATTAGTGGTTAATAAATATTATAGAGATACCGGAGCTGATCTGGTGCATGCGCATTGTCTCTGAAACAGAATCCACAGGATTGTTGAGTGATTTGGCTGTTTGTGGCTTTGTTTTGTGCTCCTTTTTCAATAATGTTAAGGTGAGGATGACGATCCATCGCAAGTGGTCCACGTGGCGGTACTACCGAGATCCCCTCCTGCGGCGAACTTCCGTCCTGACGTCCACGACTGAGGTAAGTGTCCCATTTCCCGATTACAAATATGTCTGATTGTCGTGGGTACCCTCACTGACTACCCTAAGACCCGTTTAAATTCACCTTACCCAAGTGCAAATCTATATGATTTTTTTCCATTTGTCGATATCTTTTCATTTTTGTGAATTTATTGTACACTGTCATGTGGTTTTGTCTTCTGTGCACTTCTGAAAACATAAAGTCATTCGTTCGCATTTTTATACGCGAGCAGAACCAAGCGGGAGTGCGAGATATTCTCTTTGGACACAAAGAATTATTAACATCTGCGTAAAACATATTGTGTTAAAGTCACCAGTTTCTGTGTTCCAAGTCTGATGTATCCGCTGGTTTTCTTGATTTTACTAGATGAGCACGACGCGGGCGGCGTACAGGCCGTCACACCGACCGAATGGATCCGCGGTGGGTAACGAATATGTAAGTTCGTAGGACAGTGCAATACGATAAAAGAAGGCGCTTGGTTAGAGACGACTAATCCATATAAACGCCATTACTCCGATAGATGCAAGTGCACTTGCGCGCAGTCTCGATTTTGAGCGCGAGTGCATTTTGGTTATTGATTATTGACTGTTGGTCGGAGAGGCTTTTAACGCGTGCGCACGACCATCACGGGATTGTTGTACCATCCAAGAGATGGGTTCTGAACCTGATCACCCAATTAGTCCGTCGACCGTGCCCTCTTAGGCCGGAGCTGGAGCAGATTTTTCCCCCTTGGATCTTACCGGACTATCTAGGCATGTTTGTAAAATTTGGTACTCATTTGAAGACGCCCTACATATTTATTCAAAGCACTGATCCAGTTAAAATAAAATGTGTGCACAAACGGCTATAGCTCCACTTACAGCCATTTACACGACTACTTCATACTGTCTACAGATTTATAGACTGTTTACTGTAATGGAAAACATTTTTCGACAGGTTGCTTAATATGACATGTTGCACGATAATACGCCTCACTTTCTGAAATCGTTCTCAAATCATGTAAAAATCCATCTCTACAAACCTCATGATAGACCCAACTCCAGCGATAAGGGACATATAGATGTGAAACTGTGATTAGGAAGAAAAGTACACTGGTCCGCGATTCCCACACAGGTTTTTTAAGCAAAAGTGCGTGTCCAATAGTTCACACTGCATTGCGACATGCCATTTTGGGGGATGTTGTTTTCATTGATGCCAACGGTTTCTTTGCCGGTGTTCTGTGCCGAATTCCATCCCTCACATAAACCCACAGAAAGTGTTTGTCGCTCCTTGTTTTCAAAGCTGCAGTCAAGTGACCGGAAACGTTTAGTTCGTTATCCACGGAAATATTACATTTACTGGACTCTAGCAGCACTCATGCGTTTAATTGTTTCACTCTGGAAAGGGCATTAAGGGGGAGGTGTGTTAATTTCCAGTCCATTGAAAGGTTAGCAAGGACATGGCTTTCACGTAAAGACCAATCTCACCATGCATCGGTGCTATCATTTGGGGATGGCTTTGGCGCCGAAACAAGATGACAGAAACGTTTCATGTTATTATGAATGGATTATTCATCAAAGGCTTGGAAGCGTCTGTGACTGCAGAGGTGTAAAACTATCTGTGGAAGGGGCGACGGTTGCCAGATTCAATTGCCAGTCAATTTTGATAATGGCTGATATCGAATCGGTGACCGAAAAGCTAGTGTCCTGCGTTCCAGAATCCTGTATTGTACGAAGAACGAGTCAGATAGATTTTTGGATAGTTTTTTCTTGTCGAGTCTTAGGACAAGTTGTCTGAGCTTCCAAGTACGTGAATTTTTCCGAAAAAGTTTGTCTAAGTAACATCAGTTTCTTGGCAAAGTGTCATGTGTGTGATGCATGTAAATGATTTAAGTTTTATTGCTTTTCGCAAATTTTTGGCAAAAAACACCATTTTAACGAAGAAGCTCAATGAAACTGAGCCTTCCTCTTTGAAGTTCAAAGAATTGCTTCCACGCTCCCATTCCTGTTTGCTTTCTGACAGATTTGAAGACAAACCTGACTCTGTGAGCAATTATTGTGAATCATTTGTACTTCCAGGTTTGATCATTGTGGTGTGATATTTCTCCCAATTCTTCCGTAAATTGGAAACCGTGGTAAATTATTAAAAGAGAACCTCTAAATGCAATGATTGATATTTTCCTACGCGTTGCTTTGCCTCCACAGCTGAAGATGGCTGCTATCGACGAGATCAGCAGTACGCATGCGTGAGCTTTGCGTGACCCTCCTGAAGTGTTTGAGGGCCGACTTTTGGCAAGGGGCTTTCAATAACAGAAGTGGCAGTGTTGAATGAAAAGTGTCAGCACATTTTCTTAGTGAGACCTAACTTATGAAAGACAGGAAGGAGACGTGTTTATAGTTAAAATTTCTTCACTCTTCATACAGGCCCATTATGATTGGTCGGGTGAGCATGTTGACAGTAATACTGTGGTGCAGGCAACGTATGTTAAGTTTGTAAAGAGAGCATGTGCTTACAGGAGTGTAAAAATGTATATTTATTCAAAAGATCTTGCATACAGTTATGTTTTGCTTGTTTGTTTACTTCTTAATAATAGTACTGAGCACTGTATTAGTAGTGATTTGGAGATTAACATTATTCTATGTATTGGTTATCTGTCCAAAGAATGTGTGTACAGTTTTTTCGGGAGCAACGGAATATTTTCGTCGTAAATGGGATGTCGTCTGAACTGAGCAATATATTACGGGTTTGGACTGTAATTAAGTAGGGCCTATTCATTACCAGTGGGTTTGAAGATTCTTCCTTTACATTCGTTTCTGTCCGATGCTCTGCTCATTCTGTCCTCGGCTGTAAATTCTAACGCTTTACAGCTGCTTGTCCAACGTCCTTTTAAATGAACATGCACACACAAAAGAAGCTATCGGTCCAGCACCACAGAGCTGTACGGCTCTGCATGGCTATTTCAAATAGCGCTCTCAGGGGAGATTCCAGCGACACGGAAAGTACTTGTGATAGTAGGTGGGGCATTTCTACATGTATCTGTTTAATACGTTCTACACCTTTTATGGATTTGTTTTCGTGTCACAATAGACAGTAAATATGTCACTCAGTGGTGCGTATATTTAAATGCATGTTGTTTGGACTTGTTCTTGTTGCAACTAGTCCACGACTGGCGGGGCAGCAGTGGAGTTCTCAGTGTACAAATCGTGTCCGTGCTACAGCATTCTATTCCTACAATGTTGGTAATTGTGTCAGACGTTTCTTGAAAAATCGAAGGTAACTTCAATGATTACTCATGATCGATTGCCCCGCACGTTTTACTGTATTAGAAACTGAAGAGTACAAGGGATTTTTTTTGTGGGGGACTCACGCCGGATTCGGAGTTACGTAGAGAAATATATACGGCTACGGCCACGTTGGGATGATGGCGCCCTCATACGGCAGGAAAGGCGAATTAAAACCCACAAAAATTTAGAGCCTTACGAAGAATGGAGGAGAAAAACATTGTTGAGCAGCTCTATCACTTGTATTTATGAATCTAATTTATGTCTCGCTTGTTTCAGAGAGTGTATATCATCTTGGTTCTCTCAACCGGCCGGACCACTGCCTCAAAGAATCGAACACTTTAATTGAAGATCATTACCTCAGTTAAATGTATCCTGCCGCTCGAGTTGTTCTTATATTTGTGATCCCAATGTTAACATGTTAAGGTAGAAATCTGTAATTTTTTTTTTTGCATCTCGAATTTAAATATGTACCTCTGAAAATATATGCCATAAGTCTCTTCTCCTTCACATTCGGAATGGAAAAGGTTGTTTTTAAAAAGTCTAATTTCTGTATGTCTAAAGGAATTCCTAAATTTCCGAATGTCAAGCTTGTTTTTATGATTTGCATCTTGAATCTACCTTGGAACTGGTTCTACCTATTCCAAGAAACTTTTGCATGTGATCGTGCTGTGTGGTCCAGGCGCACGCAACATTTGCAGGAGATCTGAATAATCCTTTTGCGACATAAATCTGAATAAAATCTAGTACAGTGAGTTCTTTCAATTCACACGAATGTAACTATTTGAATTCCCCTTACTGAAGACGCTGATACTATACTTCGTCATTTGGGACAAACCTTTACTAAGTTACATAAGAGACGCCTTGCACCAATACACCGTTTCCAATAGGTAAGAAGGGCACAAAGGAACCAGACCATTTCAGAGATGGTGGTCTTTACTCAAGAGCTTCCCCAAATCACAAGATATAGCAACAGTGTCTTCAGTCTGGGGAATGCAGATTGTTAGGTTTATGTGTAATCAGATAACTCGGTGTACCAGATTTTAATCAGATTTAACCCGCAAAAGGCTTATTGCCTTAGGATCTTCTGAAACAATAAGCCTTTTGCGAGTTAATTTTGAATAAAATCCGATACAATGTGTTATCTGATTGCGCAGGAACGTTACAACTTGAATTCCCCAGACTAAAGACACAGTTGCTATACCTCGTGATTCGGGGCAAGGTTTTGCATTGCGACCACCATCTCTGGAATGGATTGGTTCCTTTGTGCCGTTCTTATCCATGGAGAACAGTGTATTGTTACAAGGCGTCTCTTATGTAACTAAGCAAAAGCTTGCCCCGAATCACGAGGTATAGCAACAGTGGTTTTAGTATGAAGAATTCAAGTTGTTATGTTCACGTGAATTTAAAGAACGCAGTGTACCAGATTTTATTCAAATTTAACTCGCAAATGGCTTTTTGTGTCAAATTGGTAAAAAGCTGCAACTCTGTCACATCTTTGCCTTTATCATCCAGCAACTAGGCCACTAGACATCAACAATGCAGGCATGTGTCTGTGAGCAGAAGCAGTTTATGTGAAACATCCGATCGAATTTAACCTTTCCGACTTGAGCAGATACCCCTCATCAGTTGAATGGGGCCACAGTTGGTGGGGAGCGTTCATTTTGCTGGGATCGACCTGAACATGTGTATTTTATAGTCATTTGTGAACCAGCGAGGTGCAGTTTCCACCAAAGGAGCCTCCCCTGCTAGGAAAATTGCGCTTTCTTTTCGTCCAGCTCAAGGCTCATACTCCGCAAGACTTTCTGCATGAACCCTGCAAAAGCCACCTGAACAGAAACATAATGTGTACAAATACAGCACAATTTTACAAGCAGTGTTAAAGTTGGCTCCATCACAAGTCCCTTTGCGAGTTGATTCTCAAGTCCAGCTGCAAGTCCTTCGAACAAAACCAGTCACAGTTATGGATGAAAGGACTGCTTTTGTGGTGGCTCTATTTGATTAACTTCGACTTTGTGTCAGATTGGATTGCCTGCGATAGGCTTCAAGTTTTTGAGACCTGTGACTGTAATAGGGACTCCATGCAACCTTTCTTTTCGTATCTGTAATGAAGGTTCCTATTCAAGAACTTGGAGGATAGTCTGACAAATAAATTTACGATTAAAGTCTTTTACAGCTGTGTATTTTCAAAAAGTCGCTGGGTACCTATCAATTTGTACATAACAAAATTGTTAACCCTTGTTACTTATAAAACTAATGTATGCACAGAATATCGTCTGTATAATCTTATCGTAAATGAAGCTGTACATTATAAATGATGAATAAAATATGTTTATTTAATTTATCATTAGTTGGAATGTCGTTGTTTCTTGTGATTTTTTATGTTATCAATTTTGCACACAATCAGATAGAATTGCTGGATTCCGCGCACTCAAGAGTACGGAATTACTGAATAGCACGCGCTGAATTATGAAGAATCGCTTGGTTAGCACGCTGCCGCTAGCCACTTGAGGGCGCCACATAACCATGCTTATCTACAAATCCCCAACTCTAGTGTCAAAGTACGCAGAGCTCAACTTTCACCTCAAGCTTATGTGATTCCCATGAGCTCAACCTTCATCTCAAGCTAATGACGGAAAGGAGGTAGCATATGCACATGGCCGCCTTGAGGTCTGATCGTGTGCAGGTTTCGCCAATTCCCCCTAGACACACTTCCGATAGACGTCCAGTACCAAATCAATTTTCTGAAATTAAAATCAAGACGGATCCTTCTTTACAGGAGGGACGTGCACCAAGTAGGCGGGTGAGTTAACGCAAACACAGGCAGAGTTAGCCTTTTTATCCCCTCTGTTGTTTTGGAACACGGGCTCGTTCCAAACCCAAAACTCGACTTACTTCTTGGGCGGCCAGGTCAACTCCATTGTACCATACCGTATTGTAAGTGCCTCGTTTGAATGGAATGTCTGAGTTGATGATGCGTGTGTGTGGAGGCTATGCAGTACTCTCGACAGCCGATTCAGAGCAAAGACCAGGCACGAGGGTTGAAATCGGTGGTAGCTACCACATCTAATGCATAGGAGGTTCGCAGCGTAAGGTGACTGTGCCATGGCATAGTATATGAATCGAGATATGATACTGAGAGACATCTTTTCAGACACCTAGGGGGATCTGCTAGGTAACAGTAGTCTAGAGTGTGTATAGCGATTGGACATGTTGGGGGTGGGGTACCCTTCTGTCTCATTTCTTGCTGGATATATGGCATAGGAGAGAAACTACGCATGGGTATACCGAACTTTTTATTTCACAGTCTCGACTCCACAAGATTAGATAGAGACCAATCTACAAAACAGGCCTCTGATTGTAGCTCACATAATTAACTACATGCGAGCATGGTAAAACCAATTTGGTTTTGGACGATGGATGTTTGCAAAAGTGTTGAAATCTTGAAACATGCATTTCCTTGACACAAGTCCAATGCACCAATGTCAACCTTTCTCCCCGGGTATTAAACATGTAGTTGGTATTTGTCCTTCAATCACATAGTGTGTACTGAAAGATCTTTTCTGATCACATCAATGCATCAGTTTTTTTTTTTTCGGCTTGAATGCCGACTTGCGCATTAAATTGTATTGGGCGCCACCAACTGCGCCCTCTAGGCTGTTTACATGGAAAAGGCTCGAAAGTCCATGGTGGTATTGGTAGTGCCACAGATATCTTGGTAAAAATAAACGATCAAATATTGCTGCTAAAAGCGAAGACACTGCCCTCTTATGCTAGAGGAAAATGTTGGCGAATTCGTTTTGAAGACTAAAGGCCCGGCGCAAAAGCGAGTACAAATGCTTATTCGTCCTACGCAATCGCAAAATTTTTACACACTTCACCCCAAGCAAACTCGCTGCACTGAACGCTTTGCTTGTGTTCACCACCTGAAATATGCACCTGCGTTATGCACGGAATAACATTGATTTTCCTTTAAAAGGGTAGCTGCAATCAGTTTTAATTGTTTTAATACAAACCTGTAAAACAAACCTTTGTATTTCAGTTTACCTTATTTTAAACTTTTGTTTCATGATTTCAAAGGGCATTTAACTGCTGATGTCATACCAGGAAGACAGACTCAATTTCACATTTGTTTGTGCACGAAAAAGTAATGCATTTTTGTAAACTTTGCTGGACGAAATTTTCTCTTTGCCCATTTATTGTTATTTATATGCATAGGAATAACTAAACATGAACCCCTTTCTCAGAAATGTTTTCAGTAAATAAATTATGGGTTCACAATTTGAACAGAAAAACCTATGCACTGAAGTATGTGTTCCTGAGATGACATCACAGCAACAGCGTCCTCAGTTGTCCAGGAAAGCATGGGTCATATGTAAAGTTTTAATAAGCGCAGTTCTCAATGCTTAAGCAAACAGGAGTGTAAAAGAGTTTTCATACACTAAAGTAGAGTATAAAGTTGCAGAAAAACTGTGCCTCAGATAAAACACAAACTCATTATAGCTGCCCTTTAAAGATTATGAACTACGCATCCCAAGCAGTATTGACGACAGAGCAGATGTGTTTAGGCTCGTAGCATTCTTTATGAGCAGAATAATTTGGAAATCATTCACATAGCTTGTTCAATTAAATTGACAAAGTCGCAGAGCAAATTTTCCAACTTTATCTTATTCATCAGCCTTGGCGATGCATCGACTTACTCGAGAGTAATGGATAGGGAAATTAAATTTGACATGCATGGCATTCCCAACTCGGGAAAAGTACACAAACCGCGAACATTGTCGGCTTTAATTGACTTTACCATACATCTGGAACATATAGGTTTCAATGCCTTTACGTTGTCCTATGGTGGCAAACACATAGCAACTCGGTTTCAGTGGCGTAACTACATGCCCCCCTCCTTTAAATTTTGAAATGTCAACAACTTGTCTTCAAACCGCAGTTCCATCGGCTCTCGGTGCCCTCTGAAGAAAATTAACGTATGCACCAGGGGTGCCCCCTGGAAATTTCACGAAAATTTTCGGCCATGAAAAATACGGTGGTCAGAAAGAGAAATCGTGCACCCAACAACATTGGAAAAGAGCGTCCTTGAGTCAGCGGTAGCCCCTCGCGTCATTTTCTGATTGACCGGGGAGCCTCGTAGTACTTGTAGACACATCTGATGAGTAAAGAAAAGATTTGAACAAAAGTAGATTACCAGCTAAAATGTCACGCACTGCATATCTCTTGTAACTGGTCAGCTGCTGGATTTTGCTCAGCAAATACGTCTATGGAAGTGGACATAATTAACGTCTGTGAAATTTTCAATACCCGTCGCAGCCTTTTTTTTTGGTCTCATGTATGAGTGGCGAAAACGTCACGCTCCAGGAGGTTCTGCCGTAGGGCACATTTCACTCAAGAATGCTTTCTGCGGTGAAGGCCGGCGAATAACTCCGCCTCTGAAACGGCAAAGTTGACTGGGGTTTGCCTGACTAATCCACTTGTTCGTGCTCCGCTGACCTGGAAGAAGATCTCATTGCGCGAAGCTATAGGAGGGGTCTTCCGAAGCGTGTCGCGTTTACACAGGAAATGGCACCTGAAGCAGGAAAGCCGAACAGGCGTCGAAGTCCATACAGTCTTAGACCTGGCTAAGGAAGCCTGAGAAAACAAACGTAATAACACTGCCTCAGGCATATCCTATGTGACGTGTTTTGTCTTAATAGTGTCCCCTTTTCCAGTCTCTTCGAAACACTCAACCAAGATGGAAATGCTAACGAAATGAATATGACAACTTTGTTTTCGGTCCAAAAGCTTCACAACAAACGATACTTGACGGTTGATTCTTTATGTTTGGCCACTGACCTTCTAGGTCCGATTGTAGCCCCCCCCCTACCGTTAGCGAATTACAGTACTACGGGTGCTGTTAAAACAGCATCTTCATTTTCTCGTACACCGGGTCACCAGTAAGCACTTGTTTCTTTTATTTCATTAAGATTACCTTCAGAAGGATGGCGAATTTCA